TTTTTTCAAATTTTTACTTTCCGTTTTCGCAAAAATACCCGCATATTAGCTTCCTTCCGATCTCGATGCTGGACCATTATTGCCATCATTTGATATCAGACCTATTAATCGCTAATTTTGCCGATCCGTTAAAAACATGTGTCCGCTACTTAAGAGCCTCCAAAATTTCTTCTTACGTTGGAATGGACCACCAGACATGGTACGAATTTAACCATTCTGATACATGTTTCTTGACCAGAATATCACGAAGAATATTCGTGTATTTACGTGGAATTCTGATTAAGAAACACATATTAGAACGCTTGATTTTGTACCTTGTCTAGTGGTCCATTAAATTATGCAGTTTTAGTGATAAAAATGATCATGAGTAATCCTGAGCAACGCGATGAGTTTCTAAAGTCGCCAAGGAGAATTATAGTCGAAATTTGCAAAACTCATGTTTACGATGATGATATAATGGAGACCTCCTTAAACCTTCCTGATTCGCACTGTAAACCACATGGAAAAAGCTGATTGAGGAACGACTATAAACACAGCCATTAGATACTTTTTCCCCATAAACCTTCCTTGGTCGCACTGTATATCACATGAAAAAAAGCTGATTGAGGGACGACAATAAACACAGCCATAAGATACTCTTAGTGTATTTTCCGAAGAAAATACACTATTATATTTGATTCCCCTTAAACCTTCCTGAATCGCACTGTAAAACCACATGAAAAAAAGCTGATCGAGGAAAGACTATAAACACGGCCAGGAGATACTTTTTCCCCAGGACAGGCTTATTTTTAGCGATGCGTGCTATATTGGTCGTGCGAATAAAACACGCGGAGAATTCGAGTGCTTCGGGCGATTGGAAAACAAGCCTCCGCTGTCACGGAGGTGTTTCCATGTTCCGGCTCGTAATGGTCGAATTCACTCGCCATTCGTCTCTCGTCCAATCATCGCGAGGGGGAGAAATTAATCCGGGAACAAAAACAGGATTCCACGGGAACGAAACAATAATCAATTTAATTGTACCCGAATAAACTCAATCGCTCCACAGATTAAAAGACATTCGGACAAAGCGCCGAGACAAGTGTGCGCACCGTCGTTTCAGCACGTTCCAGTGGCGCGGCGTGCTTTGCGATGTATCGAATGATCTGCCATTTAAATCTATGGAAAAGGATCGATAGATAGGGTGTTCGCAGCGAACACTTTAATAATCGATTCTTTACCGTAGGTTTAAATGGCATAACAATCGATAGATCGCGATTCACGCCACGCCACTGGCTACCGAGAAAAATCGACGGGGCTCTATTTAGAGGATGGAATGAACGCTTAAATTTCGAAATGGGAGAATTCATTTGCTGAGATGATATCGCTTGAAGTTATGAGATTTCATGAAATTACAGTCGAGTTTCAATTATCGGCGTTTGGATTTTCTGCCGGGGGTTTCTATCCGTTTTCTTCTATTATGTTCTATTCATATTCGATCCTTCGACAGCTTCTTTCTTTGGGAGCTGTCCCGCATGGTGTACGATGTGAATAAGTCCTATTTTGAAACCTTAAATTGCCTTACTTATTTATTTCTAAAGGGGAATATTAAATCTTTTTTATAAATCTTAAAAATGCTTTTTCTGCCACATTAGAAGTAGAAAATTGAAGATAATTCTTTCAATCTATGATTAAGCCTTGGCTTGTTGATTTTCTAAGCCTCCTTAAACCTCCGTTTAAAAAGGCTTCATTCATAGCGTGATGAAATTGACGATTTTTGCGAATTTCAAGTAAAATTCCGTATTAAACCTCTTGAAAAGAATCTTTACGAGGCGTTGGAAAAAAAGAAAATAGTTCCCAAGTTTTGTATTATTTGAAGTATGGGTTTGAACCTACCTTAAAACTTGTCAAAATCATAATACATTTCTTTTGTACTTCGTACTTTTTGCGATGGCAAATCATTGTAATCCCTAGTATATACCCACTTCCAGAGTTAAAATACGATATTTCACTTCAGGTTTGTAGCGATTGTCTATTTTATACGTAATGCGATGTTAAGGGCTTCCTTGATCTTCCCTCAATCACGGTGTTAACCACGTGGAGCCTCCTTAGGAAAGGAACAACTTAAGGAACGACTGCGAATTCGACCCTAGTAGAAACAATCAAAGAACTCTCAATAAGACTACACTTTGCATTAGGGAACCTTTATTTTCGGCTCATTTTACAAAAAACGCATGTGTCACGAGTCTTTCAAAGCAGGTAGATGCTTTTGTGGGTGATACCAAATAAGTATAGGTCCGAGAGGTCCTATCCTAGTCGCAAAATTACTGCAGTCAAAGTAATACTACATGCGACGAATAGTAAGAGAATTTCATCATATCGCCTGGATACAACTGTTCGACCTCCACGGATGGCCATGTCGCATACGCACGGAGATGAAGGCGTTTTTACTTTCCAGGTAATAGCGGTACAGGCCTCCTAGGGCAAGAACTGCTGAAGGAACGACTATGAATCCCTCACTTAACCAATGATACCTCTGACTTCATCTGTGAATGGAGATGTTGCATGTGTGAGGGATTTGCAATTTGACCATTGATTCTTATGTAAAAATTCGCGAGAAACACGATGGTGCCACTGGTTTTCTCTTAAATCGTCTCCCAAGCTCAAAAAAAGCTCTCAAAGTGAGGCCAAAATGGAGGGCATATCCCACCGTACCCTGAGAGTCCACATCTACATCAAAACAAACTCTCCATGCAAAGATAGCGAGCAAATACATTAGCAGGGTTGCCACTTTATTTGGGGACTCTAAAATTGAAAACACGGCAACACTGCCAATGTATTTGATCTTTGCATGGAGAGTTTGTATTGATGTAGATGTGGACTCTCAGGGTACGGTGGGATATGCCCTCCATTTTGGCCTCACTTTGAGAGCTTTTCTTGAGCTTGGGAGATGATTTCAGAGAAAACCAGTGGCACCATCGTGTTTCTCGCGAACTTCTACGTGAGAATCAATGGTCAAATCGCCAATCCCTCACGCATGCAACATCTCCATTTTCGGACTTTTCAAGTTTCCAGCTCGCCGGAGACGCTAAGCAGGGCAGTATTTTCGTCGGATTTATCGCGCCCTCTCGTGGACCGAAACACAAATGGAGCGTAAAAAACTCGGGGAACCGAACGAAACGCTGGAATTTCCCGACGCGGGTCAAGTGTGAAAAGTCTCGTTTCGACTCCACGGGCACGCACCCGCAATAACGTCACGAAGTTCCGATGGCTCCGAATCCGCGGTGAAAGGGTTGCAACAGGTGGGGGAGGGGATTAGCCGTCGATTAGATCTCGCAGCGCGGCGAGGGTGTAAGCGAGCTTTGGCATGGATCGTGAGGGGTCGAAAACTCTGATCTGCACTTAACAGTTAAACTTGCATGTAACATTTTATCTCGCTTTCCTCCGACTCTCAGCGCCTTTTTCTTCTTCACGGAAACTTGAAAATATTCGCATCGGTCCGGGTATACACTGCCGTGCTAAGGAAAAATGCCGTATGAACCTGCAGACGTTGCCAAATTTCCATTTACAAAGCACGAATTTCCTGGTAAACTTATGAATATTTTTCTTCCAGTTTTTCTGATAATGTTGTTTGCAACTTTACCTAAGTTTCCTGAAAATGTCGAGGACAAATATCCATACCTTTCCTCAAAAATAACCATTTTATTGAAGGAAATCTCGCAACTCTGGAATGTGCATGCGGCGTTTTTCCTTAGCTTAGCAGTACAGAATGTTCTTCGGTGGGGGTCTTCTCAGGTTCTGTCGCTAGGCTTTCCTGCAGTGAATTTTACTGGAATGGCTTGTTCCGAAAACGAAAACTGTCCGACTCGGAAAAAAAGGAAAATTCTTTCCGTATTTTTCTTTTCTTCGCTGAAACTTAATGGCGTTTGTATCGGTCTGGATACGGAATGTTCTTTGGTGAAGGTCTCCTTACGTTTACACTCTACTATTAAAGGATCGAAAAGTTTCCAATCTCATATGATCTTCCAGCATCGACAAAGCTAGGGGCGGGCCATTAATTTAGCCTATTCTCCAAGAATGTTTTAGATTTGCGGGAATTTATATTGCTCCGCGCATCCTACCAATTTCATACTTATTGAATTCTATCCGTGAATAATGACATAAAAATCAAAAGAGGAAGAAGACATGTGATAAATTTAAATGTCTGGTGCGTGTTCGGTCAAAACATTTAGACAGGGAAAAAGAAGAGAAAACTCATTTATATGTTCAGCCTGTTGAAAAAGCTTTAATGGGGTATACTGCCGCTGAACATTAAGATTTACCCTGATCTGAAAAATAAAAACCCCGTTACTTAATCACGAAAAGTAAGGCCATTTTTTACGTCAAGAACAGCCACCCCTCCATTTCGTCAACATTAAAACTTCTTCTTTGATCCAATATTTGTTAGCGAAATGGCACTCAAACCTGAGGAGGGCAGGAAGAAACTTTTCAGAAAGGGTTACTTCTCAGAGTGAAAGAGCTCAATTCTACCTCAGTTTTCTAGAAATGCTCGGGTAAGCCATACTGTGCATTGCAGAACCAATCCCTTCTTTGAATTTTACAGATACTGAGGTTACTCAAAATCCTGAGTTTTCAAGTTGAACTCTAATTTTCATATTGGTATTTTTGATTACAGAGCTCCAACTTACACCAGGAATTTCCGATTGAACCATTAACACTTACAGGCGATTTCGCGATACTAACGACAAAGCAAATGGTAATGTCTAATGATTCTTCTCAAGCTCAAGTGAAAACTTTCGAAAATAGTACCTAATTTACACTCATTCCTACTTCTATACTTGTTTCATTCTTTTCACGTGAATAGTTTGAGTATTTTGATTATTCTTTGGTGAACGGGCAAGTAAGTCTTGCAATATTGTTAAGATGGTGTCACGAAAAAAAACCGAACACGAATAAAAGTAATAAAATTCACAATTAGTTACAATGAATGAACTCACAATGAAAAGTACAATGAATGAACTTACATTTTCATGCCTGAATCTTGTGAGGATTTTGATTTCCCGTAGCGTTCTTTGGCAGTAGGTCTGATGTTCGAAAGGTGAAATTTTTTTGATAGCAACTTTGGTTTTTGTTACATTGTCAAATGCAGATCTGTAACAAAATAACAACACCAAAACGTTTAAGTAAAATCCGCTTGCAAGGACAGGAAAAACATGATACATGAAAAATATTCAATCTGAGAAAAAACAATTGGAAAGGAAGCTAAAGTAGGCCCAAATCAAAGTGTGAGAAGAAAAATCTCACACAATTTTAGAAAAAAGTAAATCACTTTTCAGAGCAAAATATACATGGTTTTAGGAGTTCAAAATGTTAATGCGTTTCTCCACGCTTTTGACGTATAAATCGGGAGTTTGAGCCGCAGAAGATCACCCCATAGAAAGTGCACTCGCTCATAGCAGCTCTCAAAAATCAGAGAAGCTGGAATCTCAAGGGATAAGTTGACAGGTGCCCAACAGTTGATTGATGCGAGTCAAGAGTCACACCTAAGTCACCCGAAAGAAGGAACCCATTTTGCAAATTGAAGTCTTCTGATCACGTAGTCTATAGCAATAACTTAGGAGGGCGACCTGGCAACCAACAAATCGAAAAAAATCAACCCTGATACGTTTTACACACACAGGGCGACAAAGCTGTCTTAAGCTTCAGGTTTTCCGACTCCAACGTTTTTGCGTGTTAAAGTTCTACCAATTCCTAAACTTTTCAGTGATGTACATCATAAAAATGCTCTTGATTGAAAATCGTAACTTTCTGATAAGAAAGCATCTACACTGCATCTAAAAATCGATATATCGATGGACATTAATTACAGGGAAAAAATTCAAAATTTGAGGAACTGCACTTCATAAGTATCATGCTAGTCTTCAGATATACGAAGATAATCGCACAGATAAATGGGTCTGATGAATACTTGGACCGGGTGAAGCAGAAAAGAACCAAGCCACATCAGCTATAGCACAATTTCTTTGGAAAATTTAATCATTTACATGAAAACGGTTGTATGCGGATTTTTGTACAAATTCCAGTGAATTTTCTGCACGGTACGAAGTAAATACCTCAACATTTTCGAAGAGATCCGCACAAATTTTCTCTTGTAGAAAATTATATTGCCCAATTTCTGGCAATAACTAATGATGCTTGGTTCCTTCCTACTAGATGCGGTCCATTAATAAATTAAATGTCAGCTTTCAATCAAATCATACGTTTAGAACGGAGATCCTGAGTTTTTTTTTGTTAAAAAGATCGGTTGCCCGAACAAAGTATTGACCTTTTTGACGAGTGCAGAGAATATATATCGAAGCGCTCGTTATTCCGGGGCAATAAAATTTGAAGCGCGCCACGTTGACCTTTTCCCGAAGGACGAATGAAGGCAGAAATCGATCATAAAAAGGGGCCCTCTCGGCTGTCATTTAGCACTTTCCTAAGAGTCTATCGTCCAAGATCCCTATTGTTCCGTAAACAATGTCTGATAATTTATGTGATGGTTGGGAATTCATCTAATTTTTAAGACAGATAGACGAAAATCAAAACTTACTAATCAGGGGCGAGAAAAATGAAGAAAAAGAAGTTTCAACTTTTCAAGCAGAATTGAGACGTTAGGTTCAGAAAGAACATTTCTCGGTTGCAATGTTTTGGAATCTTCGCTGCTAATTTATGTTTTAGAGAGGAAACTATTGGGTGAATTTTCTGAAATTTTTCAGTTTCAGCATTGTAAAATCATAAAGAAAATTCAGTGAAAGTTTAAACGGATTCCATACAACTTCTTCAATTATAAAAGATGAAACGTCAGAAACACCGCAACCAAGAAATTCCCTTTCTGCATCCAGCGTTTCAATTGAAAGCGATTACTTTTAATAATGTTGTTGCCTCAATCAAAATAAGACACAACATTTTAAAATGCAATCATTCTGTGAAATAACTTTCATTCGAGTAATGCAATGGTGCATGCGTGAGATTTGAACCGACGTTTCTGCGAAATCATATAACCTGAAAGAGTGGCGCACAGACGAGTGATAAATTTGTGTGAGAGATGTACATCGATTCATATTAATGCAAGCTGATGAACATTGATAAACTCCTCCTTAATTTTACGCAAGTTCATCGTCTGACAAGCGCCTGCGTCTGGAGAAAAAATTAGACACCTATTGGCAACTTTTAATGAGTCTATACATTGTGCCGTGAAGGAAACCTTGGATATCACTATCTGTCATCGTTTCTCTCTCCATACAAGCTTATCAGCCAGGATAAAGAACTGAAACTTAGGGAACCGCCGAGTTTTCTTAGTCATAGATAATAGTGCGACGCAGAACTCGATATCGACACTTGAAGTTGTGAACAGCAAATTCGCCGAAATGTTTGCATTTCCCTATTTGCGAGTCGACTTGAATGCTAAACGGTTGACTGAGAGGCCGAGTAGCCTTAAATCGTTTTTCTCACTTGACTTGAGAGCACTACAATCAGGTGCGTTGTCGAAGTCATCCGGTCATCGGAAGTTAGCAATTGAGGAGAATTAAGGAAACATGATTGATGTTAATATGATTATTTTCTTCCCGTAAAACGGCAAAGCGAAGGAGATACTTACTAAATCTGGTAATATATTTATTATATCTTGACACTTATTGTTTTAGACGTCTAGTCATCCATTTCAAGACGCCAATGACTCAATGTTAACTGAATTGATGAGTACGAAGATGAGAAGGAACGGCGAAACGTAATACGCATCTCAATGAGATGCTCACTGTATGTATATTTACGTCCAGGCTATATTTTGTTTTCACGTCAGGAATTCCGTCAGCCGATTGAATCCAATTCATAACTTCGATGATTAAATTAATTCCACAACGCGGGGCCATTCAAAAATGAGCAACCCCTTTTTGGGAAAAGGGGGAGCGGGGTCTAAGCCTGCGTTAAGGGTGTGTCACAAGCCCCTCTCGGAATAAGGAAGTTTAGGGCTGTTTCCGATTACGGTGTGATTCCTCCACGGTGCATGGACTCCACACACTCACCCCCATCCAAAACTGATAGTCAAACAGAGCGCCGCATAATTTCCTTGACCTAACTAAAAAAGTCAACCAAACCTAGGGTTTTGGTTGATTAAATAATACAAAATTAAGAAGAATTGACCTAAAATAACCAAAAACAAGGGAGTTTTAACTGTGCTGTACCATTCCTGCCGTGATCTACGAGGAACGCTTCCATTTGTAGCAAGAACGTCGTGAAATCCTAAATGTTAACACAATTTTCTCGACACTATGTTTTATTCCAAGAAAACCGCGGCGAACTTTCATCCTTCGTAACTCCAGGATAACCAATAGAGATTCCTGAAATTTGGCATCAATGTTTTTCCTTCATTTAAATGTATGTAAAACAATCTATTCTTGGTGAGGCAGCTTGTCTCACCTAGAATCGATATCTTCAATGGATTTAAATTGGGGAAAAACAGTTTTGCCAACGTGCGAAATCGCCGCTTAGGGTGACCGTATCATACCATGGGGAACTATCACTGAAAGCAAGAGCCACTTGGTGGAAAACAGTGTATTGTCAACGTGCGATATCGCCACTGAGGGTGACTATATCATACTATTGTGAACTATCACTGAAAGCAAGAGGCACTTAAATGCTCAGGTACCATTTCAAGATCGAATTTCGTTGGCGAAAAAACCGCAAAATCTAGACTGGATTTACGGCGTTCTTGCTGTGGACGCTTTCCGCGTAAACGTGAGGCGGGAAAATTGAGTTTCCGAAGCTATCTTGAATAGCCACTATCCGGGATAGAAGAGCGGGGTTTGGGGATTAGCCAGTCACTCACTTGGACGACCTGAAAATAGCGGGAAAGAAGAGAGAGAGAAGACACGCTCGAAAAGCGGCGCGTTCTTTATCGAGTCCCAGAATCACTGCTCCCGAAGACGTAGGTTAGATCCAGGGTTGGACGATCGCGGATCCCGGGGTCGAACTTGACCGTGATTAACAGGGATGGCTTACGGGGCCCGCGGAAGTTTAGCAGCCGCGGTCGGATCTTAAATACGTAATCCCTCAGAAGTTGGAGGGATGCGGCGCGGGTGTTCCGAGTTAACTTGAGGATACGAATTTAAATCTGAAGCTATTTCTCGGAAGGAGTACGCGATTGCCCACGGCGGGATCGGCCACACGCCGTTGCCGAGGAGTCCTTACAACGAGCCAGTTTTTGGCTTTCAACGAATTTACAATAGAAGGAAAACGGGAGGCAAACTTCTCTTGGGATTCCGAATTTCCTTGATTTTTCGAGACGAAAATCTGAAAAAAAAAAAAATCGAAATTTAAATCTGAAGCTATTTCTTGGAAAGAGTACGCGATTGCCCACGACGGGATCGGCCACACGCCGCGCCGTTGCCGGAGATCCCTTACAACGAGCCAGTTTTTGGCTTTCAAGGAATTCATAATTGAAGGAAAATCAGGAGGAAAATTTCTCTTAGAATTCGAATTTCCTTGATTTTTCGAGACTTTTTAGGGATTTTGAACATGCACTTCAAAAAAGGCCAGGGTGTCTACTAAAATAGGCTGGCCAAAAATCAGTACTTTTACAGTACTTTTTCAGTACATTCCCGAAAAATTCAGTACTGTATGAGTACCTCCATTTGACAAAATTCGAAAAATTTCAAAAATTTGAATTTCTCTCTTAAATTGCGACAAAAATGAAAAATTCTAGACCTTCTTGCGGAATTTGCGCACTTTTTCAGTACTTCCGGGCCGCCCTTAAAAAATCAGTACTGTTTCCGGAAATTCCGGACTTGTAGACACCCTGAAGGCTAAGGCTGTGAAAGCCGCAGTTCCGAGCTACATAGAACATAGCGTCCGTTCCGGGCTTGAATAAGACCAAAAGTTTCGGGTGGCGCAAGCGCTGTTCCAGTTACTGAACTGAGGGCAATCGCAGCTGCTGCTTCAGCACCCGGAGCTTTCGGGCTCTGAGCCTGGGGCGGACGGTATATCTACATAGACCGTGCCTTTTTCTTCAGAATGAAATTCTTTGACTTTTCCCTAACTTTTCAATGTTTTTCTTTCGGCATGATTTCTGATGAACATAAACAAAAGCAATTCAGCATGAAGCCTCTTTAAAA